CAGGGTTCAGTGGTGAGAGTGCACAGCTGGCTGTTTCACACTGCTGGGTTTGCACTAGTGTAGTGATTAACCCATAAGCCAAAGCCTATAGGTTAATGCTATAGACTACAGGCATTTCCCTTCCCCCCCACCTTTGCCAGTAAATTTTTTAGCAGGCTGGCCAGCAGTCCAGCTCAGCTCTGGTTCATGCTGGTCTAGAACCTACCCCCTGGTGTGGCTCTGCATTTAAGTGTATTAGGAGCCAGGTGAGCAGGTAGCTCAGCTACTGCTGGGTCCAGGAGCTCAGACTCCCCCTTAGACAGAGACTGTTCCCACCCCAAGCTGCTGCCTCTTTATGAGAGGGAGCAGCACAGGGTGACAGGCAGCTGGTCTAGGAGGGGCGCTGGTTTTTAAACTGGCTCCCCTGCTGGACCAGCTTCTGCCTGGCAACTTGCACTGCTGCTTCTGATACACTGGCTGCTGGCCATGCCACTGGGGACTATAGAATAGTTGACTAACTGATAAGAATTCATGAGGTTACTCGACGATTCAATGAACCGATATTTAGGATAATAGAATCATAGATCTGAAAGAGACCTCAGGAGGTCATCAAGTCCAGCACCCTGCCCAAGGTAGGTCCAATCCCAACTAACATCCCTAGTTTAATTTCCATGGGGTCTTGGGCCAGTCATTCTGCATCTCCCCTCCCTCAGGTTTCCCATGCATTTACCGGTGCCAACACCATTTACAATGCCCTTGCTGATCCTGACTCGGCGCAGCACTCGCTGGCGCCTATTATTCTGTCTCCTGGGTGAAGAGTTTGCTTTGAGTTCATATTCACCAGTGATCAGAGTGCAACACTGTGATTGCGTAGCGTAAGTACATGTTGAAGGGGGCAGTCCCAAAAAAATAAGCTTGAATGGGAATTTAAAAACCCAGAGTGCTGCTCTTTGCTTTGTCATATAATCACCCTATCTTTGACGGAAGAGCTTGTCAAAGTGCAGCAAATCATTAAATTGGGGGTATTGATATTCGTTCTCCCCCTCTGCATCCCCCTCTGTCTGCTTGCTGGTTCTTGGACAGTCCCATCTCCTGAAAGGCGATTGCTGCTTTAAATGTTAAAAAGAACCCCCATGGAACTTTTGGAGCCTCACGAAACTTTGCAAGGTGATGTTAATGAATGTCAGAGTGTTTAAAATTGCCTACAAATTGTTAGTCCCAATCCTGTGATTAGCCCTATGGGGATGATCCAAGTGCAGATTCAGGGCCTTTTTTGTATCCTTGTATAGCAATGATTGCACAGTGCTTTGAAGATGTAAAGTGTTAATTAAAGGTGAAGGCTACATTCTTTAGAAATTGGGTGTGTAATAATAGGTATCTAAATCCATAATCTCACAGAGATATGGGCTTCCTTAAGTTGCATACTGCATTCAAAAGCAGCAGTGCGGATGACACTAAGCTAGGGGGAGAGGTAGATATGCTGGAGGGCAGGGATAGGGTCCAGAGTGACCTAGACAGATTAGAAGTTTGGGCCAAAAGAAATCTGATGAGGTTCAACAAAGACAAGTGTAGAGTACTGCACTTGGGACAGAGGAATCCCAACCATTCTTACAGGCTGGGGATCAACTGGCTAAGTAGCAGTTCTGCAGAAAAGGACCTGAGGATTACAGTGGATGAGAAGCTGCATATGAGTCAACAATGTGCCCTTGTAGCCAAGAAGGCTAATGGCATATTGGGGTGCATTAGGAGGAGCACTGCCAGCAGATCCAGAGAAGTGATTATTCCCCTTTATTGGGCTCTGGTGAGGCCACATCTGGAGTATTGTTTCCAGTTCTGGGCCCCGCAGGATAGAAAGGATGTGGATGCATTGAAAAAGGTCCAGTGGAGGGCGACCAAAATGATTAGGGGGCTGGAGCGCATGACCTATAAGGAAAGCCTGAAGGATTTGGGTTTGTTTAGTCTGCAGAAGAGGGGATTTGATAGCAGCCTTCAACTTCCTGCAGGGAGGTTCCAAAGAGGACGGAGAAAGGCTGTTCTCAGTAGTGATGGATGGCAGAACAAGGAGCAATGGGCTCAAGTTACAGTGGGGGTGGTGTGAGTTGGATATTAGGAAAAACTATTTATCTAGGAGTGTGGTGAAGTCCTGGAATGAGTTATCTAGGGAGGTGGTGGAATCTCAGTCCCCCCTCACTCTTCTCTTCCGCAGACTAAATACACCCAAAACCTTCAGTCTCTCCTATCACTTTCGTCACCCTCCCCTGGATCCTCTCCAATGTGTCCACATCCTTTCTATAATGGGAGGCCCAGAACTGGACACAATATTCTAGATGTGGCCTCACTTCCGTCCCAAGTGCAGGTCTCTACACTTGTCCTTGTTGAACCTCATCAGATTTCTTCTGGCCCAATCTTCTAATCTGTTTAGGTCACTCTGGATCCTATCCCTGCACTCCAGTGTATTTACCTCTCCACCTAGCTTAGTGTCATCTGCCAACTTGTGAGGGTGCAATCCATCCCCTCATCCAGCTCATTAATAAAGATGTTGAACAAAACCAGTCCAAGAATAAATCCTTGGGGCACTCCGCTAGAAACCGACTGACAACCTGACATCGAGCTGTTGATCACTACCCATTGGGCCTGACAGTCTAGCCAGCTTTCTATCCATTTTACAGTCCATTTATCTAATCCATATTCCTTTAACTTGCTGGCAAGAATATTGTGTGTGACTGTATCAAAAGCTTTGCTAAAGTCAAGGTATATCACATCCACTGACTTTCCCATATCTACAGAGCCAGTTACCTCATCATAGAAGCTAATCAGATTGGTCAGGCACGATTTGCCCTTCGTGAATCCATATTGACTATTCCTGATCACTTTCCTCTCTTCCAAATGCTTCAAAATGGTTTCCTTGAGGATCTCCTCCATGTTTTTTCCAGGGACTGAGATAAGGCTGACAGGTCTGTAGTTCCCTGGATTGTCCTTCTTCCCTTTTTTAAAGATGGGTACTACATTTGCCTTTTTCCAGTCTTCCGGGATCTCTCCTGATCTCCAAGAGTTTTCAAAGATAATGGCCAAAGACTCCATGATGACACTTGCCATCTCCCTCAGTACCCTCAGATGCATTAAATCTGGACCCATGGATTTGTGTATGTTTAGCTTTTTTAAATAGTTCCAAACTTGTTCTTTCCCCACCAAGGGCTGTCCACCTCTTTCCCATACTGCATTGCCTAGTGCATTTGTCTAGGAGCTGACCTTGTCCGTAAAGACAGAGACAAAGAAAGCATTGAATACTTCAGCTTTTCCCATATCATCTGTCACTAGGTTACCTCTCTCATCCAGTAAGGGCCCCACACCCTCTCTGATCACCCTTGTATTGCTAACATGCCTGTAGAAACCTGTCTTGTTATCCTTCACATACCTTGCTAGCTGCAATTCCAGTTATGCTTTTGCCTTCCTGATAACTGTCCTGCATTCTTGAGCAATATATTTATAGTCCTCCCTAGTCATCCATCCAAGTTTCCCCTTCTTGTAAGCTTCCTTTTTGTGTTTAAGCTCACCAAGGATGTCCCCAGTAAGCCAATCTGGTCGCCTAACATATTTGCTTTTCTTGTTGCGCATTGGGATGGTTTCTTCCCGTGCCTTTAATTCTTTAAAATACTGCCAGCTCTCCTGGACTCCTTTCCCGTTCATGTAAGCATCCCAGGGAATCCTGTCCATCAGTTCTCTGAAGGAGTCAAAGTCTGCTCTTCTGAAGTCCAGGGTGTGTATTTTGCTTTCTTCCTTTGGTCAGGATCCTGAAATCTACCATCTCATATCACTGCTTCCCAGGTTGTCACGCACCTCTACTTCCCCTACTAGTTCCTCCCTGTTTGTGAGCAGCAGGTCAAGCTGAGCATGGCCCCTGGTCAGTTCCTTCAGCACTTGTACCAAGAAGTTATCCCTAACATTCTCCAAAAACTTCCTGGATTGTCTGTGTACAGCTGTATTGGTCTCCCAACAGATGTCAGGGTGATTAAAGTCGCCCATGAGAACCAGGGCCTGCGATCTGGAAGCGTCTCTCAGTTGTCCGAAGAAAGCCTTGTCTACCTCATCCACCTGATCTGGCGGTCTATAGCAGACTCCAACCAGAGCATCATCCCTCTTGCTTCAACGTCTAGACTCTCTGCTGTCTTTTCTCCCTCTAAATACTGGAGCTCTGAGCAATCATAGTGCTCTCTTACATACAATGCAACTCCTTCTCCTTTTATCCCCCGACTGTTGTTCCTGAACAGTTTATACCCTTCCATGACAGTGCTCCAGTCATGCGAGTCATCCCACCAAGTCTCCGTTATTCCAATCAAATCATCTGATACCTTGTGGCATCAAGTCCCACAAGTTAATTACATGTTAGATAAAAGTACATCTTTTTATCTTTTTAAATGTTTTGAATTTGTTTTGCTGAATGTCTCCTCATTCTTGTAAACAGAATAGAGGATGTAAATAGAAACACTTGATTATTTTCCCTTTATCATTCATTATTTTATACCTCAGTCATATTCCCTCTTTTCATTTTCTAAATTAAACAGTCCTCATTTTCAGTTTCTTCTTATGTAGCAATAATTCCTTTTCACTTTTTTTTTACTATCTCTTCATCACTTTCTACCTTTTTGAAGATGGTGTAGTCACAGTAAGAACATGACATCAATATTTTTAATATTAGTGTCTCTCTCATTCTTTATGATGCATCGTGCTTGTCTGACCACATGGCTGTCTACGCTGCCCCTGTTTTGCGCAAAAAATATGCAGAAGAGGTGAAGCTTGGAATATTGCCGTGCCTCATTTGTGCAGGAGGCTTTTGTGCAAGAGCCGTTCTTCCGCATTTTTTTCAGGAAAAGAGAAGCCCTTGCTCAAGATGGGGTTTTTGCACAAAAATGGAGCCTAATTAATTATGCACATGAGACGTGATATTCAACGCTTTGCCTCATTTGCATATTTTTTGCGCAAAATGGGGGCAGTATAGACATAGCCCTACTGTACATTGTGTAGATATGGGACTGTGGTCAACTAGATAATTTTCCTGATGGGTTTCAATTCATTTAGAACCTAGCAATTGTTATGAGTAATTAAAGTTATTCTTTTCAAATTATCTTGAATTTACTGACACTGAATTTCATCTGCAATTACACTGCTTATTTTCCTAGTTTTCTTTGGACTTTCTGGAGTTCTTTAGAGTCTTGTCTACTATTGACTAGCCTAAATAATGTTTGTGTTATTTTCCGGTTTTTCCACTTAATTGTTGTCCCATTTTTTCTAAACCATTAATGGGTTTATTATACACTAGCTGTCCTAGTTTATATTTTTAAGATATCATTTTATTACCTTTTACCCTGTTATTATTTAGGGTATATCTATACGAGGAAAATGGAGGTGTGTAAGAAAATATGTTCACTCACATGTTTGCCCTCTCCCACTTGCCCCCCAAAAGCCTAGGAAATTACATTGCATGTGCTGAAAGTTACCAAATCTGGTCTTTGGGGAACCATATGGTCAGTCTGTGTAGGCGACAGAGCTTTCTTAGGGGCTGGACTGAGAGGCTATGTCAACACTACAAGGTTTTTGCGCAAAAATGCTGATTTTTGCGCAAAAACCGGTGGAGCGTCTACACTTCAAGTGCTATTTTGCGCAAAAAAAAATTACAGTAAATCAACAGGACAGAGGGCTTTTGTCAGTAGAGTTATTCCTCTCCCCACGAGGAATAACTCCTTTTTGCACTACAGCTCTTGCGCAAAAGGCATGTATGTGTGCTCTGCCGGGGTTTCTTGCTCAAAAAGAGACTATCAGAAAAAGCACAGGTGCTCTGATGGCCATTCTGTTAATGGCCTTTAGAGCTTTCTTGCGCAAGAGTATCCATGCAGTGTGGATGCTCTCTTGAGTAAGAGCACATCGCTTTTGTGATGCACTTTTGAGGTGTGGACACGCTTTTATGCAAGAAGTTTTTGCAGAAGATCTTGTCCGCAAAAAGCTTCTTGCACAAAAACCCTGCAGTGTAGACAAAGATAGAGGATGGAATGAATTCCCCAGGGATTTTCAGACCATCACAAACATTCCCACCTTCTATTCCAAGTGCAAGACACATTTCTGATCTGCCTTCTCTAACAATTACATAGCAGCATATACATTTAGAAGACCGAACACAATTCTTTTGTGACTGATGAACTCCTCTCTGCCAGCTGACAAGATTTCTGGTATGGTATATTCTAGTTCAACAAAATATGGCACATGAAGTCTTACAGGGTCACACTGATCATTGATATCCTTGTGAAATGTATGTATGGATACTATGCAAAGACTTATGTATGTCTATTGAAAATCTGCTTTGAAGTCTATATCAAGGAGGTTTGGCAAACTGGCTTTCTGCCCTGCAAAAGAGGTTTATTCACCTGCTGTTGGCATGTAAATTAAATACTGTAAGTTATGACCAAGAAGAGTCATTTACATATGAAGTCAATGGGAGGATGTGAAATCAACAGGGAGGCAGCACTATGGAAACCAGAGTCTATTTTGAATCTGGGGACGGTCAGTGAACTTTTAGGGATATAAGGAGAAGGCAAGGAAAACACTCCTTCATTCTCCACCTAGGAGGCAATTTGGTTGTGTGATTACATTCATGAAAATGGGATTGCAACAAGCCTTGGTTAAAATGCTGCAAAAGACATTTGCAATGAGATAAATTCCTTTAGACAGAAGATTAGCTTATTAAGTTTAGTCTCTAGAAATCATGTTATGATTTTGTTCTGTACATAACTTTTGGTTTTCATTATCCTTACTGTCCTTTGACTCTGATAATAAATATATTGTTGTTTCCACTATATAACCAAGTGTTGGGGATATTAAGCTAGGTGCTGATCCGAAGTTGAATCATCCAAGTTGGTGTGTAAACTTTCCCTTTGGGAACAGCAGACGTGCTGTTTCTGGGAGCATTTGGTGAATAAATAGCCAGACACTACAGGGGAACACGTGCTTCCAAAGGGTTTGGAGATGGGGTGCACCTATTGTTTACCTGGAAAGCAAAGAAGGGCTGGCTTAGCTAAGAGGGGAGTGCTTGGTGGCTCACAGGTTGGTAGTATTTGGAAGCTGACACCCAGTTAAGTACACATAAGTTTCTTTTATGCTGGAGGCAGGGTACCCCTAGAACTTATACTGTGCACATGGTTCCACTCCTGTAAAGAAAATGTGTCTCATGACACAGATTAGTCAGTTTGTTATTGCACTACTGGAAGACAATGTTCCCTCTAATCTTTTCCATCCATGTGCAGATTTTTTCATCCACATGTATAATTCATTTTTCTATGTGCACTGCCAGGAGAAATACAAACCTAGCTTTGGGTGCTCTGCTAATCAGCTAGGCAGCATTTGAATCTCTCCTGAGCCAACACATAAGCTTGCAGCTTACAGGGAACACCGCTGGAAAACACTCAGATGCTTATGAGGTTTGTATAAGAAGGACAAAATGGTAGCACATTGGGAATCAGCCTGAGCATTTCACAGGACCAGAATTGCTGCAATATCATAGGGCAGAGAGGCAGTTTCTGAAAGTGACCATCCCTAAACCTTTAAGAGTTTACCGGTCAAATCCAGCCATTTCAGCTTGATCTGGACATTAACTGGCAGTCAATGGTGAACGTGGAGCACAGGTGTAAGGGGCATGTCCAGTGAGATGTTGTTGATAAGCCACTGCTTTAAAACACAAGGGCTGTGTTTAGACTGGCAAGTTAAGCAGCTGCTTTTGCAGAAAAACTTGCCAGCTGTCTACACTGGCCGCTTGAATTTCCGCAAGAACACTGACGATCTCATGTAAGATCGTCAGTGTTCTTGCAGAAATACTGTGCTGCTCCCGTTCGGGCAAAAGCCCTCTTGCGCAAATCATTTGAACAAGAGGGCCAGTGTAGACAGCACAGTACTGTTTTGCGCAAAAAAGCCCCGATGGCTAAAATGGCAATCAGGGCTTTTTTGCGCAAAACTGCGTCTAGATTGGCACAGACGCTTTTCTGCAAAAAGTGCTTTTGATGTAAAGCGTCCGTGCCAATCTAGACGCGCTTTTCCGAAAATGCTTTTAATGGAAAACTTTTCAGTTAAAAGCATTTCCAGAAAATCATGCCAGTGTAGACGTAGCCAAGAAGTTTCAAGGCATAGCTCCAAGGCAAACCCACTACAGTAATCTAACCAGGAGGTGACAAGGCACAGGCAGCCAAAAGGATGCAGGCCTCATGCCAGAAGACAATAAGCATGTGTGGATGCAGCAAGACTCCTAGAGTATGAGCCACAGAACCGGACAAATGGCTATGCCTGCCAAAGAGGGGGCACCCCTATCACAGCTGGATTTTCTCAGCCCCTTTCCTCCACCTCTTAAACACCAGCCCAAAAATCAAGCCCCAGATGCCCAGGGCACCTTTTTAGGGATGGCGGGTTGAAGGGGGGAATTACCCCCCTCCTTGGGCATAGCTGTCTGTCTCTCTCACGCTGCGGTCCCGGGGGCAGGCTGCGTGCCCCTCCTTTGGGGCCTCTCTCCCCCCCCCCCCCCCCCCCCGGGCACCTTTTTAGGGATGGCGGGTTGAAGGGGGGAATTACCCCCCTCCTTGGGCATAGCTGTCTGTCTCTCTCACGCTGCGGTCCCGGGGGCAGGCTGCGTGCCCCTCCTTTGGGGCCTCTCTCCCCCCCCCCCGCCTGCTCCCAGGATCAGAGCCTGCCTTTGCCTGCAGGAGATGGGGAGGGAGGCTGTGCTTATGCGTGACTGACAGCAGCCGGGACTTCCTGCAGGGGAGCTGCTGCAGAGCCCGACCGCTTTGTATGTGAGCTATCTGGGGGTGGGGGGCAGGGCGGTGAAGGGGAACCCTCGGCTGGAGACCTTGCGCTGCTGCCAAGGCAGAGGAAAGGTAGCAGAAGCAGCGGCTGGGGAAGGAGGCAGCGGCTGCACTGCAGAATAACAGGAGCCCCCACCCCCCTCGTGCAGAAGGGAAGAGAGAGAAGAGCTGCTGCTGTCACTGCTCCAGCAAGTCAGGTATTTACATGGCCCTCGCACTCCCCATCCCTTCCCCACGGCTGCTCTTGTCCCCTTGCCCGGCTGGGAACCCTCGCGCCCTCCTTCCTCCCTGGGGTTGACAGCCCCTTTCCCTCTCCATCCCCTCCCCCACCCTGGCTCGGGCGCTGCACTCCAGCAACAATAGGTTTATTTCAGCACCCAGCCTGCTGCTCGTGGTGGAGGGGAGCGGGCGATTATTTACCCCCGCGTGGTGCCATTCACAAAGGCAGGGAGATGCTCTGATGGGGAGGGGGGTGTCGTCTGAGGCATTGGGACAATTGAAAGGAGAGAAGATGCCCCCTTTCCTGCCTCCCCCATCCGAAAACAAATCCCCGTCCAGATTGAGGTTCTCTCGTTTCATTGTCAAACACACACAGCTACATTTTCTCTCTCGCTGGAGGGAGAGGCTTGACAAACTGCTTTCAAATGAATTCTCGGGAGGAAGGGGTTTCCCTCCAAATAGGCTGTAAGAGATAACCCTCAACCTAAGCCCAAGTTTCAGTTAGTTGCAGGGAGAATTGCCTCCTTTGACATTCATTTTGAGCCAGGTTTATAGGAGCATCTGGTTCTTGTGATGAAGGATTTTGCTGTGTCGTTTTTGTTCCAAAGGAACATTTAAGCATCTCTATTGTTTTCTTAAAAAAAAAAAAAGATCCCTCTTGTTTGAAATGGTCCCTTCCTGAAACATGCCTGCCAGTTGAAAGCAAACCTCAAATGATGCTCTGATGGAAATTGAGAGGTGACAAAACTTAAATTATCTTCTGACATAAGTAAATTAATATTAATGTAATATACCACAAACCTATGTCCCTTTAGTTTGAACTAGGGTGAACAAACATTAATTGGAGGAATCAAACATGGTTTTCTTTCATCGCCAAACTCCCCTTTTGTGCAAGACAGATGCCCCACATATGTATGGTTTTTTGTAAAGGAGGGTTAAAAGTACTTTTCTAGAGACAGATGCCCCTCCATCTTCTACAAAAATCTAGGACCCTGAAGAGAGGGAGCTAGATTCCATTTGTATGCTGATAGGGACATTACTTTAAATTGTCATTTAGCAGATATCTTTAAAACTCACATTGTGCAAGATTTATTGCACTATTGCTTTCAAATGTTGAAGAATGTCTAATAATGTGAATTTTCTTTTTGTAATTCTTGGGTATGTTGATTATGTAGAGATGACAGGATTCAATATTTGCATGTAAAGTGCCACAACACTGAAATGTGTTGATTCGTTAGCTTGCGAAGAGAAGATGTACAATATTAAAATACCTTAGTTTGACTTCAGGAATTCTCTTTGATATATTAATTGCACCATTTTCTTACCTAGGTTTGTTTTCTGTTTACAAGCCTGAAGATGGCTGCTTCTTCCTCCTGCAATGTGGAAGAAGATGAGAGCCTGAAGGGATGTGAACTCTATGTTCAGAAACATAACATCCAACAGATTTTGAAAGAGTGCATTGTAAATCTTTGCATAGCAAAACCAGACCGGCCAATGAAGTTCCTTAGAGAACATTTTGAAAAATTAGAAAAGGTCAGTGACTTTCATGTAGCATCTGTTTTCAGTTTCCAAGTGTATGAGTGCACAGAATGTTCTTAAAGTTTCATATATTTGGGTGCAATTTTTTCTTAGCATCCTGCTTTAGTAGTTACCCTTTTAAAAAAGCTCTTAAGGGAAAAACTTCTGTTTGTATATGTCCATTGTAGTACTTGATTCTAGGCACAATTCCTTTTTGTGTGATAAGGGTTATAATTTCTCAGAAGATTGCAAAGATAATTGCATTGATTGGTAAAATTGATCCAGAGAGTTACAAACATTGTAACGCAGAGGGTCCTGTTCTCCAGTCCATCAGAAGGACCTTCATAGCAGAGCACCATGTGGATTTTTCCTATTCAGGTCAATGTCAGGAAGTGCAGTTTGCCCTTACCCTCATCATGGAAAGCTCCAAGTTCTGCGTAGATATTGGGAAATGCACAGGGGCCCATATGCACTGACTCTTGCCCATTTGGAGCATACAGCTCCAAAGGAGTGGTACAATACAGGGACTGTCTATACTGTGATGGCTCTGAAAAGGCATGTTGCACAGAATAGAGACATGTCATCATGCTAGGCTGAATTGGTGTGTTCCCTTACAGACAGGCATAGTGTTGCAGATTGGACCTTGCTTGATTTTTCCCTCTTCCAAGGGACCATGACATCCAAACAGACTGTGGATACTAAGAAGCACCTCCTGGTGAAGGATTTAATTTCTTAACAGAAAAGCCAGTGAAGAGCAAACAAAACGTTCACCTAAACATCTCAGCTGCATGTCTGGGTCTTTCTTAGTCTATCTGTCTGTTGCCAAAGTCTAGTGCTTACCTTCATCTAGGCTCTTCCTCAAGAGTTCTCTCAGTGCCAGGCTTTGCCCCTGGAGTTAGGACTTGTGCCCTTACCAGAGTAAGGGTATGTCTACACTACCACCCTAGTTCGAACTAGTGTGGTTAATGTAGGCAACCGGAGTTGCAAATGAAGCCCGGGATTTGAATTTCCCAGGCTTCATTTGCATGTTGCCGGGTGCCGCCATTTTTAAATGTCCGCTAGTTCGGACTCCGTGCCCACGGCACGAACTAGGTAGTTTGGATTAGGCTTCCTGTTCCGAACTACCATTACTCCTCATGCATGGGGCTTTGGATCTATATCTTTAATCCTGCAAAGACGTACACAGGTACTTACTTAACTTTAACATTAAACCTAAGAGCCTATTTGTGTGCTTAAAGTAAGTGTGTAAATCTCTTCAGGATGACGGTTTAAGTTTTATACTGTTGCAACTTGACTTCATTTTTTAAAGTATTTTTATTGTAAATGTAGAATTTTAGGTTATTAGTAAAAATATGCACAGAGCAAGAAATATAATCAGTTATCTGCAAATGCAGTCAATATACTATATGTTGTGCATGCACTATATATATGAGTGTCTGTGTTTATACTGCTTATTTCATAGAATCATAGAATACTAGGACTGGAAGGGACCTCGAGAGGTCATCGAGTCCAGTCCCCTGCCCTCATGGCAGGACCAAATACTATCTAGACCATCCCTGACAGACATTTATCTAACCTACTCTTAAATATCTCCAGAGACGGGGATTCCACAACCTCCCTGGGCAATTTATTCCAGTGTTTGACTACCCTGACAGTTAGGAACTTTTCCCTAATGTCCAACCTAAACCTCCCTTGCTGCAGTTTAAGCCCATTGCTTCTTGTTCTATCTTCAGAGGCCAAGATGAACAAGTTTTCTCCCTCATCCTTATGACACCCTTTTAGATACCTGAAAACTGCTATCATGTCCCCCCTCAATCTTCTCTTTCTAAACTAAAATTTAGATTATTGTACTGTCTATATAGGATAGTATATCCCAAACGTAGGATAACGCTGAGCAGCAAATCAATTGCTTGTGAATTAGTGCCATTGAAAAGTGGTCCTCACAACCATACACTTCTTGTTGAGCTCTAACCTGACAGGATCAACACTGTACAATGATGCTGTGAAGGCAGCATTCTTTTCTCTTCTGTACAACCATCCTAGATCACACTGAGCTGTGGCCTCGTCTACACTGCAATGTTATTTCTGGATACCGGAATTTTTCGAAATAGCTATCCCGTGTTTTCACAGCAAGTCTGTTATTTCAGGCTCTCTATTCCGACATCCCTGTAAACCTCATTCTATGATGAGTAAGGGACATTTCGGTATAGTGTTTTATTTCGAAATTTGGCACTGTGTAGACAATGCCAAATGATGAAATAAGCTATTTCAAAATAGCATTGAAATAAGATACGCAATTTGCGTAGCTCAAATTGCATATCTTATTTCGAGTTATGGTGCAGTGTAGATACACCCTTAATGAATAAGCATTTAGGATGATCAAGTCCAATATGGCTATGTCTAGACTTCCGCTTTTTGTCGGAAAAAGCTTTGCAAATTGTGCTCTGCAATTTGTGTACCTTTTTCCGATTGTTTTTTTAGAAGAGGCTTTTCTGAAATTTGGCCCGTCTACACTGGAGCAAATTTCAGAAAAACCTCTTCTTTTGGAAGAATGAGGAAGACAGGGCTTCCAAAAGATCATGTCTGCTCTTCTGCAAAAAATGTCGGAAGAACAGACGCATTCCTTGGATGAGTTCCTCTGGTATCCCGGAAAAACTTCGTAGTCTAGACATAGCCTATGTTGCTAGCAATATAAAATCCTCAGCCTTGCAATGTACACAGGTGCATTCCTGTCTCCATATGGAACTCACTGAAGCAGTGAATTCCCATATGGGCTCTGCATATCACATTCAGAGTCAGGACCCACAAATGCAAAACTGGCGAATCCTCTGCAAGCTGATGGCTTGAGATGGGGCAAGTTACAATTTGTAAACAAAAGTCTAGAGAATTACTTCAGTAGGGAAGAGCAAATTCAGAATAGCACTTAAGACTGAGTCAAAAATGCTGGAGGAGTTAAGACTAAAGAAATTGACTGTCTTCCATCTCCTTGCGAAGTATTGCCATATTCCATGGACAGCTTAACTGGACAGCATTTCTGAGATAGTAAAATGACTCTTTTAAGGGAAACCAGATAGATATTTAGGATGGTTCATTCATCTTTATCAGAAGGACTTAATTATTTGCCTGTTTCAGCAGCAAATTGTGATTTTTTTCTCCACTCCACAACCCCAATGAACTATTTAGTTTCTGTATAAAACAGGGGCAAACAGAGAGCTCTAAAATGGTGCTATACAGTATAGCATTTTAGCTTCTAGGGGCCATTTAATTTGATGCCTTTTGCTAAGTATCATCTTTAGACCTCCCACTTTGCAGAGAGACTATATTGAATTTTATTATTTGCAAATTTATTTTTCCATTTATAAGGTATACCCATCAACAAATTCCTTCAGCATATGTACACAGAAAATTAAATATATGGTAATATATTGCTCAATTGCCAATTAAAGGGCTAAAACGAACCACCTATAAAGCAGCAGTGGACTCTGAACTCTTTCCTATCTTGATAGCCAAAGCCTCTTGCCCAAAAGACAGTATGATCAGCTCCAGTGTTTTCAAAAATCAGTGATATTTAGGATGGTTCATTCATCTTTACCAGAAGGACTTAATTATTTCAGAAATTTTTGAAGGGGTCCCAGGCAGCCCCTGGAAGGGGCCAGGCCTCGGGCAGAAGGGTCAGGATCAGGACACTTTTGTGCTTCCCCACCCACAGGCCCTGATTGGTCTGTGGATGGGGGAGCACATGAAGTCTTTGTCTCCACTTGCCCCACAAAGAGAACCGCCACGTGTTCTGATCAGCTGACATCTGTGGATGGGGGAGCACATGAAGTCTTTGCCTCCACTTGCGCCACATGTTCTGATCAGCTGACAGTTCCCTCTGCGCCCCTGCCCCTGGCGGTGGGAGGAGAATTTGCACGCTCTCCCCTTGCTCCCAGGCCAATCAGTGCTTGGGGGCGAGGGGAATGTGCAAAATCTCCTCCCTCCTTGCCTCCATTCTGCAAGGAGAGTGTGGTGCTTAGAAGCGCAGCACACTCCTTGCAGGGCAGGGGCAGAGCGGGAGGAGACTTCACGCACTTCCCCCACCCCCAGGCCCTGATTGGCCTGGGGGAGGGGACAGCATAAAGTTTCTTAGTCCCTGCCCTCTAGCACATGGTGCTTAGAGTCAGCTGCCAGGGTTGACTCTAAGTGATGTGCTCTCTCCTTTCCCTAGGCCCTGATTGGCCTGGGGGCGAGGGAGTGGCAGGACCTCCGTGGGCCAGATCAACCCACTTAGTGGGCTGGATTCGGCCCGTGGAGGCCCTTTTGCCCACCCCTGCCTAAGAAATTATTCTGGTCACTTTACCAGCATATGGAACAGCTTCTAAAAACAGTTTCCCAATAGCAATACAGGATTTTCCCCAATGCTTACCTACTAAATACAGTAATAGACTGCAGTAGGAGCATTTGTGCTTGCTGCATCTGGTGAGCCTCAGATAATATTGCATACATAACCTCCTCCACAGAAAGAGAAGGAACCAAACCATATCCAGCTTACTATGAACATAGAGCTGAGATTTGCTGAAATGAAGTTGGTAGTAAACTGATGCACAGCTATTACAATTTTAGCTTGATAATAAATGCTCAAACACCCAGAGCCCCAGCTACCCAAATGTCAGACCATATCTTTGTAGCCATGGCCTCTCATTCCTCTGCAGGAATCAAGTTTTCAGCTAGGAATGGGGAGATTTTTGAGCCCAGTGTTCAGAACTTTCACAGGAACCAAACAGAAACAATGGAACTCACTCCCAGAATACTTATTAACCTCCCTGCAGTCAGAATTAAAGGTACAGCTCATTCCTTCAAGTTAGGTTTCCCACAATAGTGCTTGTGCACTTATGCTCATGACCCCCTCCCCAACCACCCTCCAAAAATTGAGCAGATTTTCCTACTAGATGGGGAGTCCGAGAAGAATATTGTGATATAAACTGTGAGAAGCACTCAGACACTCCTCTGATGGTCATCAGTATAAGAACTTGATA